CTAAGGAAAGGGAAGTCATCAAGAAGCAGGTACGAGAAATGCTTGAAGATGATGTTATCCAGCCTTCTAACAGCCCGTGGTCATCTCCCGTGGTGCTTGTCAAGAAGAAGGATAACACGCTACGGTTTTGTGTCGACTACAGGAAACTGAATGCTGTGACTAAACGGGATGTATATCCCCTTCCACGCATCGACGACACGTTAGATCGACTTCGGTGTGCCAAGTTCTTCTCATCACTAGATCTGAAAAGTGGATACTGGCAGATCGAGGTTGATGAACGTGATCGCGAAAAGACTGCTTTTGTTACCCCGGACGGACTTTACGAATTTAAGGCTCTCCCGTTTGGTCTCTGTTGTGCGCCGGCAACGTTCCAACGCATGATGGACACTGTGCTTTCCGGATTGAAGTGGCAGTGTTGCCTAGTGTACCTAGACGACGTGGTCATCTTCGCGGCTACATTTGAGGAGCACATCAAGCGCCTTCGGTCAGTGTTAGAGGCAATCCGTTCGGCAGATTTGACAATCAAGCCAGAGAAGTGCCGATTAGCTTTCGAAGAGCTTCGTTTTCTTGGGCATGTCGTCAGCGCCCAAGGTGTTCGCCCTGATCCTGATAAGACGGCCGCCGTCGCAAGGTTTCCGGTGCCAACAGACAAAAAGTCAGTACGGAGATTTCTAGGTCTATGTGCGTACTATAGACGATTTGTGAGAAATTTTTCAAAGATCGCAGAACCCTTAACGAGACTTACGAGAGAAGATGTGCCTTTCCAGTGGCAAAACCAGCAACAAAGCGCCTTCAACGAATTGAGAAAGAGGTTAGAAAACCCCCCGATTCTTTCTCACTTTGATGAGACAGCCGACACGGAAATACACACAGATGCCAGTAACATCGGCCTTGGATGCGTTCTAATACAGTGGCAGAAAGGTGAAGAAAAAGTGATAGCTTATGCCAGTCGGACTCTAACAAAAGCAGAGACAAACTATTCGGCCACGGAAAAAGAATGCCTTGCCGTCGTCTGGGCCATCAGTAAATTTCGGCCGTACCTATATGGTAGACCATTCAAGGCAGTCAGCGATCACCATGCGCTTTGCTGGCTGGCGAACATAAAGGAACCATCTGGACGACTAGCAAGGTGGAGCCTCAGACTGCAAGAATACGATATAACCGTCGTATACCGATCTGGCAAAAAACATACCGATGCCGACTGTTTGTCACGGGCTCCTACAGACACACCACTATCAGAAGAAGACGACTTTCCGTTCGTAGGAATTGTCGAGACCACTCAAATAGCCGAACTCCAACGTACAGACAAAGAATTACTCCCGCTTATCGAACACCTGCAAGGAATTGACGTACAAGTACCCCGTATATTTTCTCGAAGCCTCGCATTGTTCTGCCTCCGAGGAAACGTTCTCTACAAGAGAAACTTCAAGCCCAACCGCGAAAAGTTCCTGCTTGTCGTTCCAGCAACTATGCGACAAGAAATACTTCGAGCGTGTCACGATGAGCCCACATCTGGACATTTGGGTGTGACGCGAACGCTTGCAAGGATCAGTCTCCATTATTATTGGCCCAAGCTACTAGCTTCAGTGCAACACTACGTCAAAACATGCCGCGAGTGCCAAAGACGAAAAACACCACGTTCTAAACCAGCGGGCCTTCTACAACCTATAGATCCACCGAAAGCGCCTTTCCGCCAAGTTGGAATGGACCTCCTTGGACCCTTCCCGACATCTTTACTCGGCAAGAAATGGATCGTTGTGGCCACTGATTATTTAACTAGATACGCCGAAACAGACTCTTTGGAACGAGGAACGGCAGCAGAAGTGGCCCAATTCTTCGTACACAAAATAGTCCTGCGACATGGCGCTCCAACGGTTGTAATCACCGATCGCGGAACGGCTTTCACGGCGCAACTTTTGAAGTGCCTGCTCAACATGACTCACACTGTTCATAGGAAAACCACTGCATATCATCCTCAATGCAATGGCCTGACCGAACGCCTTAACAGAACTTTAGCGGACATGATATCCATGTATGTGGATGTCGAGCACAAAAAGTGGGACGAAATTTTACCATACGTCACTTTCGCCTACAATACGGCTGTGCAAGAGACCACCAAAATCACCCCATTTGAACTAGTTTACGGTCGTGCTGTTACCACAACACTGGATGCTATGTTACCAATAGACCAAGATGACTACCCCCCCGATCTTGACGACTTTCTACAAAGAGCGGAAGAAGCCCGCCAGTTAGCAAGATACCGAATACGCCACCAACACCGCATCGATGCCGACCGCTACAACCGAGGAAGACTTGACACGCGATATGACGTTGGCGACAAAGTGTGGATATGGACTCCAGTACGACGACGAGGCCTCTCCGAAAAACTCATTTCACGGTATTTTGGCCCCTACGAGATCGTACAGCGACACAATGACCTCGTCTACGAAGTCAAGCCTGCAGGCCACCTGCATTCGAGGCGACGCAATCCCACGGAGCGTGTACACATTGTACGGATGAAACCGTACTACGACCGATTCCAAACCTAGCCACCCCAATACCCTGACGTACTGCAACCTCATTTTTACAAACTTGCACACACAAAAAAAAAAAAACAGCCTCATCGCAAGCATCGGGGCGATGCCGCTTGAGAGGGGGGACAATGCCACGAGGAATTGTTAAGGCGCAGTACAACGCAGACGTTGTTAAAAGAGGAACGCTGACGGCATCGCTACGGCTCATGAAGCCCGCCGGAAGGCACGAGCCGGCCCAGCCTGTGCACGAGCTGCTACCGAGCAGCGGAAAAGAAGAGAAGAAGAGGACGACGAGCGTTCGCTGCTTTCTCCCAGCTACTGTGTAGTTCTTTTGGCTTTGGGCACAAGTTCGCCCTTATTAAACCTTGTAAATAGGACGTCCCGGTTGTGAGGTTGTTATATCCGTTACAATATCATGTGGCAAAGCTTCTCGTAGAATGCCAATGAGCATTGAAGAGAAAGTGACCGTTGGTACTTCCAGTGCAGTGAGACAACGCACGTTGAGGTGCACAGTATCGCAGAGTCACCTGAGGCTGCGGACGTCGCTTCCCGACTTATTATGAGGTAAAATGCGAAACGCTGATAGGTGATGGTGCTGGATCCGTTTTCGATCACCAAAGCGTTCCTTCAATAACTTGCTGGCATCAGCGTAATAGGCTTCGGAAGTCGGAAAATCACATTTCTCCACTGCCACTTCACCCGCGAGTTAATGACATAGATAGAAAAACTTCCTCCTTGTTAACAAATCATTCTTCAGGTTGAGTGTTTGCTCGAACTTCTCTCAGAAAGCTGACCACTCGCTAAGTCAATGTTAGGCAGCCTTGGGCCAATTCTGGTCATAGCGTCAGCAACTGTGGCTGTCACGTTCATAGGAATCGTCGCTGCTGTACTGTCCCCGCGTCGCAAACTGTCTACCTTGCAGCGAACCTCTGTGAGCATGCTTATTGATTGATTTGTGGGGTTTAACGTCCCAAAACCACCACATGATTATGAGAGACGCCGTAGTGGAGGGCTCCGGAAATTTTGACCACCTGGGGTTTTTTAACGTGCACCCAAGTCTGAGCACACGGGCCTACGACATTTCCGCCTCCAACGAAAATGCAGCCGCCGCAGCCGGGATTTGAACCCGTGACCTGCGGGTCAGCAGCCGAGTACCTTAGCCACTAGACTACCGCGGCGGGGCTGAGCATGCTTATAGCTTGGTCGTTATAGTTTGCGGCCATGACATACTCCACTTCGAACTTCTCGTCAGCTAGGTACTTCTCCAACGCATCTTTAATCTTTGAGAGCTTGTTGTTACTAGCCTACAAACGGTCATAGATACCTGTCAGCTTGGACTTGTCAGCGGTAGGGCCTGTTAGCAGAGACCTTGCTTCCCGCAGGAACTTCGTGTTCTGAGCTCGCCAAGCTGAGCGCTTCGTCTTCATGCGATCCATCAGGCACATTGTTACAGTCGATGAGGTCTGCATCCACGCCAATTAGGAACGATCCATTGCACTCCTCGCCAGCCATAGCACAACGCTGTCGCTTAGAAAGTCCACAAGAGTTGTGCGATAAAGAAGACGTGTGCGGAAGAGGGGTTTCAGGCAGTAGGTTTAAATTTAACTGCAGATAATGTTCTAAGTTTCGGTGCCTTTAGCTTGGGACATTGCCACAGGAGCGTATTCGATGCTGTATGCAATTTCATTCGAGAATCAAAGCGCATGTCATAATAATGCCTGCTTAAATATATTTCTGAAGACACTTGTCTAATTTTGAATGAAATTTGCATATTCATTTGATTGTGACCGGGTGAGATAAGCTCGATTGTCTGGTCTACTCAAAATTTCTGTCTTCCACTGTAGTATTACCTCACCTTTTCTCTTCTTGATTCAATCTTCAATTATTTGTTTAGTTTAATATTCCTTTTTAGTTAATTATTATTTTCTATTACATCATTAGTTTTTTCATTAAGGATAAACCTTTTAATATATCTCATATAGGATACTTCTAGATTTCATGGCCAATCCCCCATAGTGGGTATGTGCCAGTGCGAAGGGGCAACAACAACAACAACAACAGGGGTTTCAGCACCACAATATAAAGGAAATCTATCGACCAGCGAAGAGACCAGATCGAACGCCCTTCCTGGATTCCAACTCTTTCTTTTCTTCCAGTGCTCTTCTTCTTCTTCTCCTCTTTTCATGACTCTTACGCATGCAGAAGATTGGCTAAGTATGAAGGTGAATTCCTTCTTTTTTTTCTGCAGCCCTCTCGTCAGACGTGATATTTGCAGTAATCTCGACGATGAGCTCTGGCTCTTTCCACTTCTGAAATATTACTAATATTTTTCAATGAAGCCGCTTAGCGACCAATTCTTACGTTTCGAATGGGTTCAGAATCAGATCGCTTCATGCCATTTTACGCACTTTTATGTCATCTTTCCCTTCTCTTTGAATACTCATTTCTGCACTCCAATCAGCTTACCTTAACATTCGTTTTCTTCTTCACTGCACTGACTTTCGTTGCATATTGTGCAGTGGTCAAAATATGAGTGGCGTCTGAATGGTCCACTTGAAAGACGAGCTCGTCTGGAAAAAACATAAAAACAACATATGAAGTAATAATAACAAGAAAGCCATTGCTATAAATAAAGAAAAAAAATAGTTGGTTCGTGTGTATTAATGCGCCCAGCGTAGCTTGCATGAGTATCGATGTTGCCAGCGTAGCCCAAACAGCGTAGTTGTTTAGGCTGAGCATTATATGCACGGTGCTTGAGAAAAATCACCGGCTTAATTTCATGGTAAGCAGCGATGTGGCAGGCATATTTAGCATCGTATATTAAGAAAAAAATTAATTATATTCAACTTAAACTTGTTCAGCATCTGTCATTTGTATGGTGTACAGATAAAAAGACTGAAGATTTGACTAGGCCCATGTCTCAGATCAAGGCTGCACTGCCTTGAAATGCATCACAGTAAACAAGTTACACATGTACATGTCATGACAACGACCCAGAGAAAAAACGAATAAGTTTATACATAAAGTGAAAAAAGCACAAATACAACGCAAAATTTCGAGCAAATTACTTGATTAGAATTGAAAGTAAGAAACACAATAAAGTATTCAGTGACAAGAGATAATAGGGAATAGTAAATACGCAATCTGGTCTTCGATGAAAACAAAGAAGCGTTCATATTATGGGTATAAGAATCTTCATTTCACGCGAAAACCAAAAGTTATTTTCACAAGCTTACGCCCTTGCGTTGCTAAATTAATTATTGTATGCACAGAGCTGGCCTGGCTCCTTCCCCTGTTGGCTCACTTTGTAACTATGCTAAAACTATAGGTATTACTTCTTATCATTATACTTCCTTGATTCACTCAGGAAAAACATTCTGAAAGCAGTGTTTGATCTAACTAGGTTTGATTTTGTTATTTCAAATGTACTATCCTTGGAACTATCCTTATATGGTCATTGTCGGGGATCTCTGTTCCTTCCGTGGTAAAAAATTTTTTTGAATGAAACAGGGCGGGTTTGTTCTGAAACATGTAAATTAGAATTGTTTATTTATTATAAGGGCTTTATTTTCATCATTAATAAAGTTCTTATGTGACCGCTATGAATAGTAAAGTATTAGTTTTTTAGCCAATCCACCAGAACGCTAACGAGCCATAAGTAGAGGCTGCCATCATCATAGTCATCACCAATTATTGATAGTTCATTTACGTGTGTACGAGATCGTATGCTTAACATAGGTCATGCGCTATTGTGAACTTTTCAAACCTTGCTACGGATTGTTTGGCATATGTACGGATATTTTTTTGTCAAATGGGTGTAATGAGGAGTGATGTTTGAGTACCAGAGTAGGAAAATCAGGAGAAACAGCCAGATGTGACAAGGTAACCATTTGCATAAGCTTTGAAGTATACTGTTGTAACTTGTCGGAAAGAGAAGTAAACATAGAAGTGATTTTGTGCCTCAGTTGAGATGAATGTAGAATGTCGGCTATGTCCTCTGTAGAAATAGGGGGTGGAGGCACAGTCCGCGAGGTGCCAGCAAGAAGCGCCATGCTGCGAAACGACGTCGTGTAGGAAGAAGTCGCCGACATCTGTGACGCAGCTTGATGTAAGATATTGTGTGATGGCGTAGCACGTGGCATATTCTGTGACAACCTTTTGTGATACTAACGAGGTGGAAAATCAATGCGAGGGGGGTGAAAATTGATGTTAGGCAGTCGCCATGACATAAATGCGTGTGTAAGCAAGTTTGTGGATACACTACACTTGATTGGTTTTATTTTTTGCCAAATGTCTGAGTTTATGAATATCAGCACTCATCTATGTGTTATATATTTTGTTTACCTTTAATATGCTGCAGATAAGAAGTTCAAGCAAGATGAGAAAATTACACAGGATACACACTACATAATAATTCAAACAAGAAAACGTTGAAATGAACGAACTGGTCTAGCAAACAACCATCAACTAAACAAGGTTACAGCCCGTTTTTACGCGAAACTATTGTTTATAAGCGCGAGGGTTATTACTTTACTGAAAAGTGATGGTGACATTTACATCAGTTCAAAAATTCGACTTTCGCATTTTAGAATCAGCTTGCATAAATATTTGCACACTTATGAAAACTTATCAAGCCCGGGCACTTGCAGTGTGATACGAAATCTTAGATTCTTTTCTTCAACGACACGTTTGCAGGAAGTGGATATGAATCTTCATGTGATATATTTGAATTTTGTTCGGTATATTTGAGATTTGCGAGCCCTCACCTCTATTTCTCAGTAGCAATAGGACATAAGCAAACGAAAGGTGTTATACCTGATGGCATGAAGCACTTACAAAATTGACACTATGATCAGTGGCTTAAGTGTACCTGAATTTCGATGGTAAAAGCCATTCATAGGTGGCATTTATCCTGCACCGAGAAACACAAACCGTAAACATATAGTTTTCAATTTACGCTCATAGTTTTAGTTTTGCGTTCACTGCGTTCACTGCTCCTTTTGTGGAAGATGGCAATGCTCAGAAGGTAGTTTTTTCAAACAAAAAGTACATATGCAGAAACACTACAAAAAATAAAAAGGTGACTCACCTCTTCGTCATAGGAATCGGTATCACAGGAATAATGCTTAGTGTGCAGTTGGTCTGAGAGTTCGTACAAAGTATATTGGTGTTTGGCGACTATGGCAGCTTTTGATTTTTGATGCGCTCAAGCTGACTCCCAGTGCCGCATCTTTTTTGTGGTGACTAATTGTGATAATCATGATTTTGCTGTTGTGGTAGTTGAATTCTTTGTGAGTTACCAGGATGCAGCCTATCGTGAATTACGCGCAATGATCACGTGCAACAACACTCAATAAACATGGTGCTATGCGCTTTTTCAAAGCATCGTCGATAATAAGGAGAAATGGCACGACGTGCACCTGAAAGAGATGCAGTAACCCCCTAAAGTTTCATACAATAATAACCAGAGGGTAATCTGGCGCTAGTGTAAACGCGGGCTCTTTCAGCCGCGCTTGTACCCCCATGGGAATTAGGGAAAGTACAGGTTATGCATCCGCTTCGGATGGATTATATTCTTAGGATTCGCTACGCTTCTTTTCCAAGTGTAAAACAAAACGATATGAAGTTGTACTTACAAGAAACTTGCTGCATTTGTTTGTATGTAAACTTTTACCGCAAAAAGTTTTCGTGACGAGGCGGCGAAAATGAAACCAGGACAAACTTAACCATCAGGGTATGTATTTCTCTGCCATGGCGCTCCAGATTTGGCATCAAGATTCAATGAATAATTTTTTACAACGCTCGAAAACAAACATGCTTGTTTTTTTTCTCAAAAGCAGGAAATATTTTTTGATTGAAAGAACAGCACAGTAATAAGTGAGAAAGACTTAACGTTTCGTTTTCTGCGAGGCCAGGTGCGTCTGTTCAAGTGGTCTGCCCCAACGCACCTCTGGTTCTCTTGTGATTTGGAGGAAGCGGCGCGAGACGGTGCGTCTACTTAGCTTCGAAATCGATTTGCAGTAAGTTTAGAAAAGAGTTTAGGCAAAATTTAATCGTGAAAAACCACGAAATCAACGCATAATCCTGCACTGGCATGAGACGCTACATCCATGCACAGTGGTGAGTGTACGATGCTTCATTTAACCTGTCAAGTACGATACGTAAGCAACTTTGAACAAGAAAGACACACATTCAGTGCTCTTTTACCGCACCCCCCTACCCGTGCTGCGTGAAGAAAGAAACTGAAACTGTAGAAAAAAGTTTGTAGACCGTTTGCTAGCTCACCATACCTGATTAGAGGCATGTACTTTCCATAATTTCTATGAAGGTACGCGGTTGCATCGCCAGATTCCTCTTTAGGTATAATTATATAAACCTCTATGGGTCACCTACTCTCTGTGTTCGTGCATACACTATCAAACCACGCTTCGGCAACACGGTAGGCAGATGTTAGTAGCTTCAGTCGCAAACGGACGCAGGCGTTTCACGTCTCACTGGCTTTGTCTCGTTCCACCGAGGCGCCACATTTGCCCGTCAACATTATTGCCTTTCTCGACGGCTTAAGGCAGCAGATTTAGCAGTCGGTGCTATCGCAATAAATTTTGTTGGCGGTAAAACAGCGTTGGAGCGTGTCGAAGCGGCACTAGTTTCACAACGAGCTGCCACACACTAACACGAAGCGAAAGCGAGAAATAGCCTAACTAGAGTGACATAATGCTGTGTCTAGCACACGTAAAAAGAAGGATTTCTGCTCCGTTTTCTAAGATAGATCGCCGACGGCAGTGTGGCCAGTGTTTGTTGGTGCTATCGAGATAATTTATTGGCGACTTCCGAGATCGCAGGCTCGAGTTCAATTTTGGACGCCATTCTTTAACTGCTTGTTAACAGACCTTTATCGGCGTTAGTAAGTGTCATGCCACTATAATTCTCCTCACTGCTCCCAGAAGACAGCTTCGCACCACTCCGTGGACACCGAGTGAGTACGCCGAGCGAGAGGCAATGCGTGAGAGATATATGACATGTTTGCATTTACTTTCGTGTGCTTCGACAGCTCAGGTGGTAGAGCATCGGTCGCGTACCATCGCGGGCTCATTAGTCGCAGGGTCACTTCCAGACAGGAGAACGTTTTTGTTTTGCTTTCCTTTCTCCCTTCATGACGTCCTTTCAACGATGTGATAACTGTGACTCAAATAGACACATACACATGTCGTCCATGGTAAGCCAGACAACGTTTTAAGCCTAAATTTATTAAACCAACCTAAATTAATTACTCTTTGCCTCTCTCCTATGATTGCAAAAATGATGGATGACAAAAAAATATAAAAGAAGTCTTGGGATGCGCTTACTTTCGTTGAGTACTGGGTTTGCTAGCAACACCGATGCTCCAGTAAAAGTGAGGCTGAATAGGGCAATCATGTTCTCGACGCTGTTGTCAAGGTGTACACATACGCGATCACCAAGCCCGATGCCATGTGCCTGGAAGCCCGCAGCGAATCTCCGTAATTGAGAAAAGAAGTCACCACGTGTGAGGCACATGTTGTCGTCCACCTGCAAATGACACAGATATTTTCGGCTACGAATTCGACTATGAAGTTCCAGTACGTAACGAGCTTTATTGCTCTTTGCTCGCGAAAGTGTGTCACAGACTGTACTAATGATGCGCAGCTGATAATACGTGGAACAAATATTGTCCATGACATAATGCGCTATACGAAACGGGTAGGGTGTGGTGCATACGGGCGGAACCACATTGTTTATGGCTACACACCTACACATATACTGGAGAGGAAGCGGCAGCAATAGGTCGATATAGGTAGCGAGGAGTCGAGTTTTCCAGTGTAACTGTAACGTCATAAGGCATAACAATACTGAATTTTTGTGATGATGTGAACGAACAATTTATTGAGGAGCGAAGCTGCTTAGGACCTCACAATGCCCACCAGACTTCAATCCACTCAGACGCCTTGCACATTTCGCACCAAAGGAGTGAAACATTTGTGCGCAAGCCGTCTACAGAGCGCATAATACGGGCATATGACTTAAAAAATAAAGGTCACAACAACCTAAAACAGCGGCATGTCACCGCCCGTCAATAAAAGCTCATGCCAGAAGAACAGGTTAGCAAAAGCCAACCAAAAGCTTATAGCGAGAGAGAAGTTCACGACGCCATAAAAGAGGCAAAAAGGTGACCCACCAACAAGGGAATCAACCGACATGTCATTGAACAAATAAAAGGTTTGAAAAGTGTATTAGCCATAATAAGCGTAATAAAAGGCTACAACATCGCAAGAACACCTAGTTTTATTCACGCATCGATCAAAGCATGTTAACAGAAGGTTACGAGCGACCAACTAAAAAGGCTGTTAAGTCCAACAAAATAGGTCACAGTTAAGGATTCAATGCACGCTGCTTCGCCCCTTTGTCAGCAATCACTTCGCGGACGTGCCTTTTTCGCATCCAGCAGTTCATTCCTTTTGCCACAAGATACGCAAAATATTTTCAGTTAGTTCAAATGACTTCGTATTTTGTTTCGCTAATTCTTTTTCTCTTCCTTTTTATGGTAATTTTTGGCACTGGCGGGGATATAGAGTAAAGATTTACAGTGAGTACTGTAACATTTATTGATATTGATAAATATAAATGAGAGATGCGACAGTCAATCATGAAATGTGAAGAATTGCTGCACAATCGCTCTGTCTCACCAGTGCTACTCGTTCAGGTGAAGCCGTTAGAAATTCCTTCATGGCTTTGTAGACGGAGCACATCGGGATGTCAACTTTCGGATGTGGAGAGTACACAATGCCATCCTTGATCACTGCCTTCATTGTGTTTCGTGGTTTTCTCTTCACGGGGCTTGCGGATAACGTTGCTGTAGTAGCGATTAACCTAAGCAACAATAAAAGAGCATGAATATATGCAGATGTGCGAATATTGCAAGTGCAGCCCGTAGCACAAAGGGAAATTGAAGATGCCATACAAAGATCAAACGTCTTGCTTCTCTACCAAAAAAGCGAAGCACTGCAAAATTTTGTGGGTCGTATAGCTTGGCAAACGATGTTTACTCAGCTGTACACAAATGCGATATGCAAATATCCAAACATAACGTTTCGAACTTCCCAGCTCCGCACAGAACAACCGCGTCAACAGCAATTCACTACGCAAAGTACCAAGCGAATAGAGAGCGTTCGCAAGAAGACGGGCAGATATTCTAGACTCGCCAACTGCTCGATAGCATTCATGCAAGATATGTGTTGATAATGAATTGCTTGAAGACAGCCAAAGTAACACTGCCGGAGATAAGCAGATTTAGAAAGTTCTCACATTTCCTTTAAGAGGTTGTAAAATAACGTAGTCTCGATGGTCAGTACTTATAAGACTAACCTCAATATTTTTATGCATGACGTTAAAACACATTGACATAATCAGTGAAACCAATGAAATGCGTTGATTGTCAAAGCAGAACGGGAACGTAGAAGTGGTCGGCAGCGTCCGGCCAAGCGCAGCCTCCACGAACTCATGCCGATGGCGATGCCCTTGAGGCGCACAGCAATGCTGCTAAAGCCACTTTTTTTTCTTCTTCACTACAATCGCCCTCCTCAGAAAATGGCACCATCCTGGAGGCTTACTGAGAAAAACAACTAATGCGTCAGGGTCCGTCTTGAGGCGAGAGACGTGGACAATGTGACCGCCGCAGCAGCGTAGGTCTCTGGTTGGCATGATGGACTCCACGATGTTGACAGTTTGCTCTACAATGCGGTACGGTCAGAACTATTTGAGAACAAGTTATCTGGAGTGGTCAGGTGTACTAGCAGGCACCCGAAGCCACGCCAAAGAACCAGGTGGAAAATTTGGAGCCTACCAGTTCCCAGGTAGACGGGCTTGCTGCTGCCACTGATCCTTGGTAGAATAGGAGTGGGCAAGCTGGCGGCATTCTTCAGCATGTCGGGTAGCTTCGGACAGAGTAATACTTTCTAACTCATCAGGTTTATACAGAAGCATGGTGTCTACTATATTGAAAAGCTTTCGTCTGTACAGAAGAAAGTACGGCAAAAACCCAGTGGTAGCTAGTACGGCAGATTAATAAGCGCATATGGTGAACGGGAGAACTTGGTCCCGGTTTGAATAATCAGAGGCGACGTACATCGACAGCATATTGCCAAGAGTACGTTTGAAGCGCTCCGTCATGCCATACGTCTGAGGATGGCACGCTGCACTTGTGCGGTGCATGATTCGTCATTCGTTGACTAAAGTCTTCAAAGTGTCAGAAAGAAAGGCATGGCTTCTGTCACCTAAGAGCTTGTGAAGGGCACTATAACGCAGAACGAAATGTTGTAACAGAAAGGTTCCAACTTCACGGGCTGTGGCAGTCGACAGTGCGGCTGTTTCGCATAGCATGTCAGATGGTCTATTACAGCAATACTCCAGCGGCTAGCAGCTAAAGTTAACAATAGTGGTCCATAAATGTCAACGCCAGCGCAATAAAAAGGTTGACTAGGACAAGAAAGAAGTTGTGACTGGTAGACTTGCCCAGGAGGTAAGTTCCGTCATGGGCACTGAGCACACGATCAAATGAACTTCCGCACGTAGCCGTACGTGCGACGCCAGTAAGATCTCAGTCGAAGCCTAGCCTATGTCTAGAAGCGGCCTGCGTGGGCGCACTGTGGGTCAGAGTGGAAGCTTCGCCTATAACAGTTTGCATATGGCGGTGTATCACAAGGAGCCACTTGTGACCATCGGAAAGGTAGTTGCGTCCATAATGAAGGTCGTCTCTTGGGCAGCAGTTACTAGCCTGGTGGCCGAGAGCACGGGACGGTGAACAAGTTCAAGGATCAAAAGAATGCTGATGAGACTACTGATCCAGAGATACGTTCGCTGTTCTACCGTCATGTTGCCTAAGGCGGGTGACGCAAGTGCAGGCTCCAGGGAAAAGATGGCCTTAGATGAAGTTGTGGAGTGTAGGTGCCAAACTGCGTGGTTGATAAGGTACACGGGACATCAAAGAGAGTTTACGAGTGACCTCGGTGCGGATGAACTGTGGAATTTTTCAAATAGGAGCATAGCTGGCTCCTATGCCAAACTGAACAGGTGGCACAAAGAATCGTCGGACACCGAGGGAGGTCGGGTGTAAAGGCGTTGTCTGCAAGACTCGTCAAAACTCTCGCGTAACTCAGTCTGTTTGAGGACAGTGACAGGACTCTTAGAGAGCAACATTTGAAAAGCGTAGTCCTCAATGCCCTTTCATGATGTGTTTTATTTTATCCTCTTCAGGACGTCAACCCGTTGACGAGCCTTGTAAAGACCCAGAATCTTCTCGAATACAGCTTGTGAGATTCTCACCAGGTGTTGGGACACGAGTACGCAAGCGTTGTTCGGCACGCTGTTTGCGTACCTCAGGCCGTCCTAAAAAAACACTGTGTGAGGCTCAGCTTTGACGACTGGACCACGTAGGGAGTTAAGCTTCATGGTTAATTGAACCACAGTATGGCCACGTTCTACAGGTAAAAAAAGACGTAGCCCACTTGGCGACGTCATCGCAATCGATGTAGCATTCTCTCGCTGGTACGTGCAAGTCCAATTGGCTACATTTTTGTCATCGGTGCCTGAGGAAACAGGGACATCTCGGAGGCACAAAGAACTGGCACAGAAGACAGTGGGCAGTGCCGTTGGATCAGTTGGAGCAGCGCTTGCGTCGGAGGGCATAATGGACCATAGAATACGAATTGCGAAGTTCCAGAGGGATCGAAACTCAGCAGACTCCACCACTCTTCATCCGGTTTATTGGCCGAGCTGAACGAAGAAGGAGTAGTGGTCAGCAATATTCGGTCGAGCTCAGCAACCACGAGCTCATGCCAATGCCGATGCTCCTGGGGCTGAGATCAATGTCGCTGAAGACAATGCTTCTTGCACACACACACACACACACACACACACACACACACACACACACACACACACACACACACTTACACACACACGCACACGCACACGCACGTACGCACGCACGAACGCACACATACACCCACACACGCACACTTTCTTTCACAGTATTGTCTGTTAGATCTCATTATTATTGTGTTTAAAGACGAGAAAAACGAGCCCTCAAGTAAACACTTGTTTCCCTTATTCATTAACGAGGGTGTCGTTCTGGCAGACTAGGTGCCTTTAGATTTTATACGAGGGACTATCGGTCAGCTGGCCGCTCGTAATAGATTCACGTGCTAAGTGACGCCAAACAGGCTGATGAAGAGTGTGCTACATTCGCCGCCATGACTACTGGTGACGGCGACTGACACTTCCACGTTTAAACTCACATAGCTAACAAAAGACGTGCCTGGCGGGATTGCCATCGTGGTAGCTCGGCGGTAGAGCATCAAACCCGTTATTCAAAGGTAGCAGGTTCAGACGCTGCCCCCAGCGAGCTATCTTTTCACACACTTTTCTTTCCTCACATTTACATTAGAATTGACCTAATACCAGCCTCTATATATATATATATATATATATATATATTTAAGAGAAAAAAAGTGTATACTTAAGGGCTCGTTTTTCGTGTTTTACACAATATTATTGAGATCTAACAGACAATAATGCTAAAGAAGTTATAGGGGAAGTTATTAGGCCAATTGATCTTGCCCACCAGTGTGGATCCATCATAAGGCATCGTGACTTTTCGAAGACAAGCACACAAATCAGCACGAATAACAGAAAACGCAGCCCCAGTGTGCACCAAAGCATCAACGTCTACTCCCTAAACTGTGACCGCGATCATATTTTAGGTGCGCGCTGGAGGAATTGGAGTCCTGTATTGGAATGCAGTTTGTCCTCCAAAAACTGCATCGCTTAGTTTTCCGGACGCCAATCAGAAGTAAGGGAAGCAGGCTGAAGAGGAGAAGAGGAGCGATGGTAAGGCAACGGTGAACGGCGTCGGGTTGATCGGTGACTACTGCGCCGTTCACTCGATGCTGGTGGAGATGGAGACCGACGTGGCGGTGGCGAATAACGGCGGCCCTGGTACAAGGCTCCTGCGGTATAGTCCCGTTCGCGTATGTCATACCCTCGGCGCTCGTCTTGCTGGCGCTTGCAGCAAAAGCGTGAAATGTGACCACGATAGCCACAATAATAGCACGTAGGCCGAGTCGATCGATAAGGAGGGTAGTAGCTTGCGCTAACTGCACCGGGAGAGGGTGCAGTCAGAGGGAAAGATGACAGCTCAGGTGGTGGTGATAAAAAGCTCGTGGGAAAGTTTGTGGGATGTGCGGCAGCAAGCGACGCGTACGTTCGTGGCGGGGACGTCGACCTGACCGTGCCTGGTGGCGTAGTGGCAGTGTGCGGGAACGATGGGAGAGTACGAGTGACAGTGGGCTGCAGGTTGGCCATGTGGGTCATGGACGTGAGCTCTTGCCTGATGACATCCCGCAATGACGTTGAATAAGACTGGACGCAACACACTCAAGGTAGTGCGAATCCCATTGATTCTAATTCTTCGCGTGTAATCGTCCTTATCGTGTCTCGCAGGTTTGGATCAGTCGCAATACGGGCCGCGTCACTGTCTGGTTGTAGGCGCATAGACTCAAGCTCTTCGAGGCGCTGACAGGTTGTCGCCACGTCAGCAGCGGTAGCTGAATTCTGGATTGCAAGGGCATTGAATGCGACGGGTGAAATTCCCTTAAGAAGCTGGCGCACCTTGTCTGATTCTGTCATTGGTGTGTCAACCCGGCGACAAAGTGAAAGAACATCCTCGATGTAGGATGTATACGACTCTCCAATGTGCTGTTTCCGAGTTGCGAGAGCTTGATTTGAGAGAGCCGAACGAACAGCCGGTGTGTCAAAGACATGGCGAAGCTGATCTTTGAAGGCTGACCAGTCGACGATATCGATGA